TGCTAAGTTCACTGTATTGACTAACTAGAGAAGAAAAAAAGACTGAGGAGGGAAAAAAAAGAGAACACAAAATATAAAACAAACAAAATTCCTAACAATAATCCTGTAAATAACAATATTTAACTAAAATCAAAACCTATGCTTTAAAATCATATAACTCTAATGTTAATTTAAGAGCAGCCTCAAAACAGACATTTAATCTCAATGAAGCTGAGCAGACAAAAACCCAAGACATTCTTGAAAAAACCCACACCAAAATTCAAACATTCTTCTATGGAAATCAAAGCAGTAATTTCACTACAGTGGGGAATGGCAGGCATTATAAGTGAGAAGACAAGCTCTCAGTTGCACAAGGTTTAAAATCAGGTATTCTTTTTAGCCAAAAATGAAGACAAGGTGAACTAACAGTTCTGAAGAATAAGTGTATGCTTCTAGACAGTGCTATGTTATGACAATGAACACACAGTTAGGAAAAAATTATCTACCACAAGGGAAGATTCCCATTAGAGGGCCCCTACCCATGTTAAGTTAGTTAGGCTAGAATCTCAAATCTTTTTTTTTTTTATTTATTTGAGAGAGAGAGAGCACAAGAGGGGGTAGGGTCAGAGGAAGAAGCAGACTCCCTGCCGAGCAAGGAGCCCGATGCGGGACTCGATTCCAGGACTCCGGGATTATGACCTGAGCTGAAGGCAGTCTTTTAACCAACTGAGCCACCCAGGCGCCCTAGAATCTCAAATCATCCCTCACTGGCTTCATTCGGGAAACCCTGAGCATGACATGAAACCTTAGGAGCAGGGTCTCTCAGGATGGCATTGTTGACATTTTCTTTTTTTTTTTTTTTTTTAAAGATTTTATTTATTTGACAGAGAGAGACACAACACAGCGAGAGAGGGGAACACAAGCAGGGGGAGTGGGAGAGGGAGAGGCAGGCTTCCGGCTGAGCAGGGAGCCCGATGCGGGGCTCGATCCCAGGACCCTGGAATCATGACCTGAGCCGAAGGCAGACGCTTAACGACGGAGCCACCCAGGCGCCCCCATTGTTGACATTTTCAACCAGATAATTCTGCGTTGTGGGGGGTTGTCCAGTACATTTTAGGATCTTCCATCCAGCCATGAGAACCAAAAATGTCTCCTGATAGGGGCGCCTAGATGGATTAAGTAGAGCATGCGACTCTTGATCTCAGGGTCGTGAGTTCAAGCCCCACAATGGACGTGGAGCCTACTTAAAAAAAAGTCTCCAGATATTGTCAAATGTCCTCTTGGGGGCAAACACTATCCTCACTTGAGGACCACTGCTTTAGAATACAGTTTGATTTCAGGGCTTCCATTCACTGACTTTAGCAAACAAAAGCAAGAATTTTAAATATTAAAGGTTTAAGAATAGGGTGCCTGGGTGGCTCAGTCGTTAAGCGTCTGCCTTCGGCTCAGGTCATGATCCCAGGGTCCTGGGATCGAGTCCTGCATCGGGCTCCCCACTCAGCGGGGAGCCTGCTTCTCCCTCTGCCTCTGCCTGCTGCTCTGCCTACTTGTGCTCTCTCTGTCAAATACATAAAATCTTAAAAAAAAAAAAGGTTTAGGAATAATTCAAGAGTCACATTCATCAGCCAACGTTTTCTAACTATTTAGAAAGGACTAATTTCCAGAAAATGAACAAGCACAAACCCCTTCAAAACTCCGAATTCTCCTTGAGTTAGCCAAGTCCTACACTGTAAATGGCCCCGAAAAACAAGCACAGGAATTACTAAGTAGTAGGATTCTCTAAATTCTAGATTTCAAACTTAACAAATACTTCTTTATGACGTAAGTACTCTACTAACTGCTTAATATCTAGGACAAATATTATCACGTTAATACTAGGAAATGCATTGAACTGCTAGTTTCCACAAATCCTGACGTACGCTGTACAACCCCTCCCACCCCCGCAATGCCCCAATCCAAATGTGCTGGTTCTTGGTAAGCAATTTATCCAGAAGACTGGGTTCAGGGTTTACTGCTGGTCAGTGGAGAAATAAAAGTTAACTGAACTACAACATATGGCTGAAAGAGCTTTTGTCACCATCTCTGGAGACAGCTTCTACAACTGCATTTCACATCCAACCAAGTTTCAAGTTACAAAACTTCAATAATGGTTAAAAAACAAGCCACCAAAATACTTCTTACAAGGTGAACAGCATCATTTGCCATTAGCTATGTTTAAGACTTTTACTCCTCCAGTTACAGTTGAATCCTTCCACCCTCAGCATTCATTTAAAAGAAATAAAGTATGATGTTACTACGAAGATATCAATCACTGTATTTCCACTGCCATTCATTTAAAATGACCTAACCTATACCTCTCGTCAACCAAATAAAAACAATCACTCTAAAACTCTAATTAGTTGTAGGGGTCTGTTTTTAATTAAGAGAAAAAAACACTCTCATGCTAACAAACTGAGGTTAGAAAGAAGGAAAGCAGGAATTAGCAGCAAAGAAGAATACGCAAGACAGGATGCTGTCAAAAAGCAATCCACCTACCATCCCAGGTATCTCCACCACCTAAAGAAAAGTGTAAGATATAAACACACAAAAATAAAGTTTAACTCAACCACCCATGTATAAATGAGCAAACAATGATGTATATACCAGGATTAGCAAATCAACACAACAAACAACCTAAAACACACGTAACCTACATTCTTACAAAAGCACAGACTGACTACAAAAAGTTGCCAGAAGAGGCAACTATAAAGAACTAAAACAAATATAAACTTCCAGAAACTTACTTTTGCTAATTAGGAATCCTGGAGAAGTAAAATGTATCACAGAAGTTTTTGGTTTTAAAGACAGTGAATCAAGGTACAATAAGAAATCAAAATAAACACTCTATTCAGATAAATAACAATGTACCCAATATTAATTCTTGAAACAGAATGTAAATCTTCCGAATGTTCATCTCACCTTCTGTTTCCATGTCTTGTCCTTTGGGAGCCTCCCCAATATCAATGGTGAACATCACTATCTTTGGAGTCATGGTAGACATCCTGTTGCTGAAACAAAACTTGTATGTTCCATCCATGTGAGCAGCAAATGTGTATTTCCCACTGGACTCTCGGTCTCCTTTATAAATTCCTTTATTATCAGGCCCTGTAATCTGGAGGCAGGAAAGAAATGCACATCACAAAAGATTTAAAATCATACTCTTCGCAGGTGCTGTCTACTGGCAATAGGATATTCGCGAAGAAAATGTAATTTTCACTTAATGACAGTAATCTCTTTGGGCTGCAGTTCTCCCACTTATGAAACAAGGCTGGACTAGATGGCTCTCCAGAACATCTTCCAATCCAGACTACATGTTTCATTTACCCAACTTAAGCATGAACCGCTCAGAAACAGAAATAGTACCTTACACATTGTCTCCAAACGGCCTTCTAACACCAAAACACATGCAAACTATTAATATCAAAACATGAAAAAAAATCTTTAAAGCTAAGGAATTTGAGCAAGCTCCACTTTTAGGTTTTCTTAATTGATTGCTGCAAACCAGTGAAGGAATCTGCTTTATCTGAGATACCAGAAGGCTTGAGAAAAAAAGACCAGACTGGAAACTAAGAGACCCATGTTCTCATCCATCTGCTAAAAATCAACTGTTAGGCCTTGGTTAACTAACTTAGTTCTTATAAAGCCTGTCACCTGCAAAACCTGGGAGACCGGAATAGTTTATCTCTAAAGTCTTAACTAGTTTTACCAGTCACTCCTTCCATTATCCCCTTATCTTTGGACTTCACTTGGGACTGTGTAATTGGTGCCCAACTCTGCTGTTCATTGTCAAATGGAAAATTCTTGAACCCAATTAATCACGTTAACAGTGAATTTAAGTATTAATTACATCTGGTTTCCTAAAAAAATAATTAAAAATAAAAGCGAAATCATCTGCTTTAAAAAAAGACAGAGCAGGAAATTTAGGGACTGCTAGTCTCTTAAAATAAATTCCTGTTTTCTCCAGATACTTCATCTGCAATCATTACCCCTAAACTGAACGACCCAACTCCACCTTTGCCCTAGTCAGAGATGGCTCAAGGGGGTATCTGGAGGTTTGCATAAAAATAGGTTAAACTTAAGCTCAGCCTTTTTCTATGAAAAATAAAGAAAAGCACAACGCAAATATCTGCCCGGCCTTTCGCTTTACTTTTTCTAAAGTTTCCACGTCATGCCCCAACGTTAATCCGTAACACGACGAAGTGCAGCTGCAGACCCAGCGGAGACCTGCCGTCGGCTAACCTCAACATCTAAGTGCCTTCTGGGCCCCGAGCTGACACGCGGCGCCTGGCCGACAAAGCTCGGCGACAGGTTCCACCGGAGCCCGCCGTTCAAGCTGAGAACCCAACGCGACGAAGCAAGGCTCTGTATCCGCACGGGATCCTGAGGCACGGAACCCGGGCGGGCCGCGGCTGAAAGAGCCGTTAGGGGGTCCCGCGGACGTGGGCCGGACGGCGGCCCGGGCCCCTCCCAGCACTCGGACAGCGGCCTCCACGCCCCGCGCCCCCGCAGGCGCCGCGCGGGCCCCAGCGCCGCCAACCCCCGAACGGCCCCGCGACCCCGCCTGGGCCCCGGGCAGCGTGCCCGCACCTCCACGTCGATGTCCAGGAAGCCGCCCTCGGCCACCTCAAAGATGAGGCCCATCTTGGTGCCCGAGGTGACCCGCTCGAAGAAGCACTCCTCGGCGTGCGCGTCGATGCTGACGAAGTAGCCCGAGGCCGTGGCCAGAAGAGCAGCCAGGAGCACCAACAGCTCAGCGAGCGTCACCATGGTGGGGCTGGGGCCGAAGCCAGGACCGGGACCGCGGCCTCCAGAGCCGCCGCCGCCGCCACCGCTGCCTCCTCAGCCGCCGCTGCCTCAGCTCCGCCTCTTCCGGCTGCGCCGCCCGAGGGGGCTGATGCGGGCGCCGTGGATTGGCGGGCGCCGGCAGCTGCCACGTAACGGACGCACGGCGGCCGCCGAGGGACACGGCGGCTCCGCCCAACCCGAGCCTGGACGGTGGCTCTGAGGGGCCAAACGTCGTTGTCCCCACCTCCCTCCTTTCTCGTGCGCAACCTAAATTTCACGTGGACCACAGGAGAAAGCGACGGTATCAAGAAACCTCCGGCGCCCAGTGCGACTCCCTAAGACTGTCCAAAGAGATGGTGAAGGTTTAGAGGCAGTAAGAAGTAAAAGGAGAGGGGCGCCTGGGTGGCTCAGTTAGGTGTGGGACTCTTGATCTCCGCTCAGGTCACGATCTTAGGGTCGAGACCGAGACCCGGGTGGGGCTCCGCGCTAAGCAGGGAGTCTGCTTGAGATTTTCTTTCTCTCTCTCCCTCCCCCCCAGCTCGTTGGCCCGCTCAGTCGTTAGGCATCTGCTTTCGGCTCAGGTCCTGATCCCAGTGTCCTGGGATCGAGCCCCGCGTCCTGGGATCGAGCCCCGCGTCGGGCTCCTTGCTCCTCCCTCTGCCTGCCGCTCCCCCTGCTTGTGTTCCCTCTCTCGCTGTCTCTCTCTGCCAAATAAATAAATAAAATCTTTAAAAAAAAAAAAAAAAAAGATGTAAGAGGAGACAGGGGGCTCACCCCAAGGGCTTTGAGATTTTCTGTTGGCCTCCCCTTGACACCAGAAACTCGCTAACAAGCTCCAAACCGGTCTCCAATTACCCAGTTTTCCACCGGTTTGATCCAATTCAGATGCCTGGTAACCCTCCAGAAGACCTCGGGATCATTACCATCTAATTGTTTTGTTGTTGTTTTTTAAGATTTTTTTCTTTAATTTTATTTGAGAGAGAGAGCCCAAGGGGGCTGAGGGGGAGAGGGAGAGAGAGAAACAGACTCACTGCTGAGCAGAGAACCTGACGGGGGGGGGGGGGGGTGCTGGATCCTAGGACCCTGAGATCATGAGCTAAAGGCAGACGCTCAACCAACTGAGCCACCCAGGTGCCCCTTAAGCTTTTCTTTTTTTTTTTTTTTTTAAGATTTTTATTTATTTATTTGACAGAGAGCAAGAGAGGGAACACAAGCAGGAGCAGTGGGAAAGGGAGAGGCAGGCTTCCCCCGAGCAGGGAGCCCGATGCGGGGCTCGATCCCAGGACCCTGAGATCATGACCTGAGCCGAAGGCACTTGCCTAACCAACCGAGCCACCCAGATGCCCCAAGATTTTATTTTTTAAGCAAACTCTACATACCCAAGGTGGGGCTGGAACTCATAACCTTGAGATCACGTGTCCCATGCTTCATGGACTGAGCCAGCCAGGCACCCCACTTCTAGTTGTTAAAACCAGAAACCCACTTACCAGCTTGCTGACACATCCCACTGTGCCCATTTAAGGGAAGAAATAATATCCTCTGATTCAGAGAATCTTCCTACCCCTTCTGGGAAAAACCCTCAAGTCAACTTCCATGCCAGCCCCTTCCACCCTAACCTCAGAAACCCTGACCATGAGTCCTAATGGCAGAAGGTTCCTTCAGAGCCTGAGCTCGCCTTCTGCCTTCTCTGGCCATTGAACGAATTACCTGCCTGCCATCCAATACTGTTTGGTTACTTGGCAGACGGTATTGAGCAGGGAAAGCACTTACCCCTTGGGAAGCACCCTCATCCCACAGAAACCTACGGGGAAGGATGGAGATGGATATAGACTGGGAAGGGGCACAAGGGAACCTCCTGGGATGTTGGAAAAGTTTAATATCTTCGCCTAGTGTTTACATATTATTTTTTTAAACAAGAAGATCTAGACTTAAAACTGATGTACCTTATTTTGCTGTATGTATATAACACTTCAACTACAAAAATATTTTTCTACCTTGTTCAAATCCTCCAAAACTAGAATTCTCTTAGTTCCCCCAAGTGTTGCTGCCACATCAGGCCCCCTTAGCTCTTGCCAGCCGCTAGGACGATTCTCTGCATTTTGCTTCCAGACATAATTCTACTCATCCCTCAAAACCCAACTCACCTCTTTTCTTCTCTAGAATGTCCCTAGACATACCTCTGCCACATACAAGCCCCATGCTCTGTGCTTTCGATGCAGATTTGTGCAACTGAATTATGGTTATTTACCAGTCTGCGACCCTTGTGAGCCACCAGCCTTGCACATGTATGCTGTGCTCACAGGGCCACAAAAGACCTCACTCATGACATACGAGTTGAGTTCATTGCCCTGGCCTGGGGATGAGGAGACCTGGGTGGTTACTTCAGCTTTGCACATAGCTGTGTGACCTTAATTATGTTCCATCAACTTTGAGCTTCAGTCTCCTCACCTGTAAAGAGGGGATGATGACACCACGTGCCTTGCTTGTTATCGTGAGGACCAGATGACACGGTGTATGTGAAGGTGCTCTCCAAATTTGAGGGATTATTTCCGTTTTTTCCCCTTTTTTAAAGACTATCAAGCAATAGGGGGCAGTAGTGGCCCAAAATCCAGTTTCCCGCTTCAGGTGTCAAGAAATAGGTGCTCAGGGCGCCTGGGTGGCTCAGTTGGTTAAGCGACTGCCTTCGGCTCAGGTCATGATCCTGGAGTCCCGGGATCGAGTCCTGCATCGGGCTCCCTGCTCGGCGGGGAGTCTGCTTCTCCCTCTGACCCTCCTCCCTCTCATGCTCTCTGCCTCTCATTCTCTCTCTCTCAAATAAATAAATAAAATCTTAAAAAAAAAAAAAAAAAAAAGAGGTGCTCAGTTACAGCGATGGAAGCTTCCTTGCCATCACACTGTGTTACTGAACTCAAGTGTTCTCGTAATAGTCCCCTGATTCCCCACTGTCCACACTGTGGCGAAGGCCCTGGTTCTCCTGGCAGGTCAGATCTGTAGTGTTATTCTAGGAGCCTAGAGCCTGTTTCTCCAGCCTCACTAACCCACTTATGTGCTCCATTTCCCTGTATTAAATTTCTTTCTGATGATAATACCTACAAGTAGCTTCCTACTAAACTGAATTAATCTGATGGAAACAGCCTTTTGGACTTCCCAAGCAACTGAACTCCATAGAAAAGTGCCAAGAACAATTCTGTTTTTACCCAGAAATTAAATATGTTAACTTTCATTTTCAAACGGATTCAATATTCTAAATCCACTTATCGGGAACTTAAAATGTGGACATTTATCATCTTGGTGGACCACAATGAATTGTATATTGTGAGGATTTTACTATATAAATCGGGGGACCCAAATTCAAATGCCTTCAGGGATCAGGCAGTTTATGTGACTGAGAGATGGCACCCGCTGAAGGCAATAGGGAGAGGGGAGGACTGTGGCAAATTGGAGCATAGATTCTGTATCTAAATACAGTTAACTGGGCGTCTGGGTGGCTCAGTCGGTTAAGCATCTGCCTTCGGCTCAAGTCATGACCCCAGGGTCCTGGGATGGAGCCCCACATCGGGCTCCCTGCTCATCGGTGAGCCTGCTTCTTCCTCTCCCTCTGCCTACCACTCCCCCTGCTTGTGTGCTCTCTCTCTTGCTCTCTCTCTCTGTCAAATAAATAAATAAAAATATTTTTAAAATAAAAAAATTAAAAATAAACAAATACAGTTAACTCCAATGTTGGACAACACAATGGTGGCCAAACCAAAAATGCAGCCAGAAGTCCTCCGGAAATTTATTTTTTTATATTATAAAAGTAATTAACTGTGCTTTCTAAAAATCAGAAAAGTAACTCTAATCACAGTATCATCATAAAATCACTGTCAACTGCCTGGCATAGTTCCTTTTTCCTACAGCACCACTCTCATATATTACTCATGAAGCATCTTTCAACATTATTTCAGTATCTGAAGACAGGCTCTAGGGACTTGCCAGGTCACCCACAGGAAATGGGCGCATTTAGGGTCCTCGGCGCAGACTGGCATATGCTTGTGTGCCTTAGTGTGCATGAATACATTCGACACAGCCCACGGTTGGCACATTGCAGGTACTTAGTAATAATACGATGAATGATGAATGAATCTCTCAGCTGGGGTCTGGCCCAGAACCTACCAGGTGTTGTCAGGAGTCAGTGAGGTGCAATAAAAAACAGATCTTTCCTCCCTCCCTCCCTTCCTTCTTTCCTTCTTTCCAGCTTTATTGGTTTATAATTCACATACCATGAAATCACCCTTTTTGGGCACCTAGGTAGCTCAGTCGTTAGGCGTCTGTCTTCGGCTCAGGTCATGATCCCGGGGTCCTGGGATCGAGCCCCGCATCGGGCTCCCCGCTCGGCGGGAAGCCTGCTTCTCCCTCTCCCACTCCCCCTGTTTGTGTTCCCGCTCTCGCTATCTCTGTCTCTGTCAAATAAATAAATAAAATCTTTTTTTAAAAATCACCCTTTTTTTCCACAGAAAAGTTCTTAGTTTATTACCTCTCTCATGAAAAATCTGCTCCATCACCACAGATCAAGTCACTACAGAATCTTGAACTTCTGTTGTCCAATCTCCAGCTCACTGTTTGCCCACACCAACCCTGGCTTTTGCAGTCCCCCCGACTTTCTTCATTCTGTCCTCATGTTCCTTTCACTATTTTCTTGACATCTTTTTCTTCTCATACAGGTCATGTCTTGCAAGTCTATGTTGAGGTTCATTTTTCTTTGCGTAATCCAAGGACTCATAAATCATGCCACAGCCAGTTGTCTTGCCTCCGGTAAGAGATAGAAGCAGAAAAGATGTTCACCTTCAGCCCAGAAGGCTGACCTATAACCTGCATGGTTTTGACAAGGATCAAATATGTGCTGGTTGCCACATTCTTACAGGGTCTCATGACTGCCTGTACCTCTCACAGACAGTTCATATCAAACTGAATGATGAGCATCAGAGAAATCTTAACAAAAGTAGTTTTATGAGTAGAAATTCAGAGAAGACATTTATGATCTAATAAAACCTGCCCATCCCCTCCTGCTTGAGCACAAATCATATAACCACCAGCTTCATACAGCGAAAGTGCAGCTTTTTCTGCCCATGGGTCCTGTCCTCCTGCTGCTTAAACAAACTTACTAAGTTGCACCTTAAAAGATCTCAAGAATTCTTTCTTGACCGCCCCACTCAATGATCCTGCAACACCACCGCCAAAATTGGCTCTGAATCCAAATACAAAGATGACATCTGATGTGGTCTTATACATTTTGGCTAGTTTTTCCCGAATTTCTGTCTTAGGTATCGTTGTCTTTCCAGGGTGAAGAACATCCATGACCATTTATTTCGGTTGAAGTAGTCAGTTGGTCATGAACTTCTTGGTCTGGATCGTTGCTGTGTGTTCATGATGGCGGCCGAGCTACAAGCAGCCAGGGAGGAAAAGAGCGGACTCACCCTTTTAAAGTGTGATCTCAGGGTTGTGAGAGCCCCAAATTGGGTATAGAGATTACTTAAAGATAAAAATCTCTTTTTAAAAAGAAGAAAAAGAAGAAGGTAGCAGGAGGGGAAGAATGAAGGGGGGGAAATCAGAGGAGGAGACAAACCATGAGAGACGATGGACTCTGAAAAACAAACTGAGAGTTCTAGAGGGGAGGGAGGTGGGAGGATGGGTTAGCCTGGTGGTGGGTATTGAGGAGGGCACGTTCTGCATGGAGCACTGGGTATTATGCACAAACAATGAATCATGGAACACTTCATCTAAAACTAATGATGTAATGTATGGGGATTAACATAAGAATAAAAAAAAGGGCGCCTGGGTGGCTCAGTTGGTTGGGCGACTGCCTTCGGCTCGGGTCATGATCCCGGAGTCCTGGGATCGAGTCCCACATCGGGCTCCCGGCTCGGCGGGGAGCCTGCTTCTCCCTCTGACCCTATCCCCTCTCATGCTGTATCTCTCTCTCTCAAATAAATAAATAAATAAAATCTTTAAAAAAAAAAAGAATAAAAAAAAAATCTCTTTTTAAAGAGATAAAAAAACAAAAAAACAAACCTTTCTGTTGGAAAGATCTAGAATGGTTTTGTTTTCTGACTGATACAAACTCCTGTCCTGAATTATAAACCAAATGTGAAATTAGCATCTGTAAAAATGAAAAGTCTAGGGGTGTCTGGCTGCCTCAGTTAGTTCAGTAGAGCACATGAATCTTGATCTCAGGGTCATGAGTTTGAGCCCCATCTTGGGCAGAGATTACAAGAAAGAGAGAAGAAAAAAGTTTAAATGTGAGGCTGCCAGTGAATGTGAAGGCTTGGCCACATGACCCTGGGCCCCTGTGATAGATTCTGCGTGCACATTACCTAGAAGTAATTAATTAGAGGAAAGGGGTAATCCAAGTAGAAAATGCTACAGAATAGAAGAGGGCCATTCTTGATGATAGAACCCAGCGGTGAGGATATTAGTGAAGCAGGGAAGAACAGTACTTAAAGATTTGGGAAATTAAGTGAAAAGAAAAGGATAGTCCAGGTCATAAAAATGAAATTGAAGTATTAAAAAGAGAACATTTTTAATATCAACTTGATTAGATGACTTCATTTCTACAGTGTGAGGAAGTACTACCAACTTCCTGGTCCCAGACTAAACATTGATTTTTTTAAACATGGGGAGGGGGGTCTGCTCAACATCTATTCTCCCTTCTGTAAGAGAACTTCACTGGTTCATTGAGGATTCCTTTCCCCCCTATCTTACCCAACACCGCTCTGGTGGACCGTCCCCACCCTCTGACTCTGTGCTTGACCAGTCAGCAATTTTCATGTCCATAAGTACAGTGATTATACCAAGGGTAGGAATGTGTCCCAAACTGAGCCAATGATATGCAATGAAAATTCATTGAATTTTCTAAAGTTATTGGCAGTATGTAACCCCACAGGTCCTGGAGACCACCTTTGCCTCCATGGGTAGATAACCTGCATGAAAGTAATGTCAACATTATGGAAACCCAAAGCTAAGGGGCAGAGGACAACAGAAGTCAGATGACAGTGCTATCACTAAGCCCCTGGATCCAGCTGTGCCTGAAGTCCACATTCTGGATTTCCTATTTATGTAACTATTTGCTTAAGTCAGTTTGAGTTGTGGCGGACTTTTTGACAAACTCTGGAAATCCAAAATAAGAGGCATTACAACTACAGAAATTTTCCCCATGTCTATTTGGAGATGCTAATGATAATCGGGCTCAATGCTATAAATGCTTTAAAATCATTTAGGTCAATTATTGGCAGCATGGTTTAGACATTTTGAACAGTATGTAAGGAAAGACTCTGTTTTCAAAGACTAGGTTATGGTCTAGAAATATAATTCTCTTTCTCTCTTTTTTTTTAAGATTTTATTTTTAAGTAGTCTCTACACCCAACATGAGGCTCGAACTTAAACCCCGAGATCAAGAGTCACATGTTCTATGCACTGAGCCAGCTGGGTGCCCCTAGAAATATAATTCTTAGCCCTGTCACTCATTAAGAGGCTCACACTCAATTCCTTTCTGGGAGTGTCTTTGGTTTCTCACCTGTAAAATGGAGTAATATCTCCTCAGGAAGGCTGCTTGCTCTCTGCTTTGCAGACTCCATGTCTGAGCCCTGCTTTCCTTCTCTTGCCTTCTTCCTCAGGCTGACTCTCCCCAGACAACCGCAGTATGGCCACTGGCAGCCCCAGGCTTCTGGCCTACTTTCTCAGCAACCTCATAGGAAAAGCAATGAACCCAACAAAAAATTACCTTTTGTGAGAGGTCCAGGAAAAGTGTCATGGAATCTCACTGGGCTGTCTGAGGCCGATGCCCATCTGTGGGCCAACCACTAGGCCCACGGGTTGGATAAAGCAGATTGGTCTGGCCTGGGTTTCTCCTTCCCGGGAACCAGGGAGCAGGGGAGGCGTGGTTCCCCTGAAGAAGATTAGAAAATCCTGGGGATCCTGGAGGAGGGGAACAACACGTGTACCCTCTCCACTCACTGGACTCCGAGTTCATTGAGGGCAGGGACTGCTGCCCTAATTTCTCTGTGCATTCCCAGAGCTCCTCCTCCTGGCACACAGCAGGTTCTCCATGGCTGTGAACTTCCAGCCTGGATGAAGCCCTTTCCCCCCTTCCGTCCCACCCTCTTCTGGAGCCTGGTTTCATCTCCCAGAAACAAGGAGTTCTGTGAGGAGACAGAGGTTCCTACGAAATGCTCTGAGCTTTCAGAGGGAAGTACTGTTTTTACCACAGTCCCTACTCAAAAGTCCCTCAACTGACGAAGGGATAAACAAAAGGTGGTCCAACCATACAATGGACTATGATTCAGCCATAAAAAGGAACAAAGGGTTGACACCTGCTACAACGTGGATGGACCTTGAAGAGAGGAGGCTCAAGCTGGTCCCAAAAGACCAAATATTCTATGGTTCCATTTACATGAAATATCCAAAATACTGAAGTCCACGGAAACCGAGAGTACATTAGTGGTCACCTTGGGCTGTGGTGCGGAGGAGGGAGGAAACGGGGAGTCACTGCTCATGGGGTTTCCGCTTGGAGCAATGAAAATGTTCTGGAACTTGACAGTAGAGATGGTTGCACGTATCTGTGAATATACTGAAAATCATGGGACTGTTCCCTTTAAACGGGTGGATTTTCATGACATGTGAACCATATCTCAATAAAGTTGTTTAAGACAAACATACCCACGGGGAAGCTTTCATCCTCCGAGGTGTCATCTAGAAATAGCCGAGAGAGGAGAACAGTGCCCGCCATCCAGGAGCTGGCCGGCACGGTCAGCTGGCCTTTGCACTTTCCCGTAAAGAACAGTTTCACAGAACATCAACATCAGACAAGGCCATCTTGTGACATGACGAAATAAGACAAAACATGAGCATGGTCCAGGCCATGAAATACCAAACATCTCCCTCTCTTGGCTAAGAGGAGTAACAGCTGCTTCTTGACCAATTACAGCCTCTCCCTGGCTCTAGTCTGTCCTCTGTCTAGGTAAGATTTAAGGGCTCGAGTCCTAGGATTATCCCTGCTTCCTGACAGAATGCGCTAAACTCCTCAATCCTTAAATTTTCCCCAGAATCACCCAACCAAAGTGCAAACGCTACATACAGTTCTTTCTAACGCCCCGACGTTCTCTTACTGAGACGCCCCACAGTCCCCCCGGGGGTGTGCGTTCTCCCGCGCTGCAATGAGTATTAAATCCAACTGGCCTAACCACTAGTGTGTTCTTGGTGCTCTTTGGCTGGAGGACATTGACATTTTCCAAACTTCTGCTTTTTATGTATTTATTGGACACCAAAGACAGCTCAAAGGGAGCACAGAGGTCAATAACATGCTCTCTGGCTGTGGACAGACCTGGCCTGAACCTCAGTTCAGCCACTTACTGTGTGACCTGCGGCAAGTTAATTCACCTCTCTGAGCCTCGGTTTCCTCTGCTACAAAATCATGTCGTGCTTCTGCTCAAAAACGCCAGTGGCTCCCAAAATCATTCCGTGGGGGCCCCACCCTCCGCGCTGGATGTCTATTAGGGCACTTCCCTTGCAAAGCCGATTAAGCCCACAGACCCCCTTGCCAGCCCTGCACCGTGGCAGGCACACTCCTGATTCAAAGCCTCGGCACTTCCAGTTTCCTCTGCCTGAAACCACCCTCCCCCCTGTTTTCCCTTGGCTTCCTCCCTCACTTTAGCCAAGTCTCGGCTCCAATGTCACCCCCTGAACAAAAAGCCCCCCCTCCAATTTCACCATCCTCTAAGCCAATGGTTCTCAACTTGGGTGAGCAGCAGAATCACCCAGAGACATTGGTAAAATCACAAAGGCTCAGCCTGTCCTACTTCATCACGGCTGGTAGGAAGGGAAAATGGCACGACCATTTGGGAAAACAGTTAAGTGTTTCTTGAAAAAATTAAACATACATGGGGCGCCTGGGTGGCTCAGTCGTTAAGCGTCTGCCTTCGGCTCAGGTCATGATCACAGGGTCCTGGGATCGAGCCCCGCATCGGGCTCCTTGCTCGGCGGGAAGCCTGCTTCTCCCTCTCCCACTCCCCCTGCTTGTGTTCCTGCTCTCCCTCTCTCTCTCTGTCAAATTAATAAATAAAATCTTTTAAAAAAAAATTAAACATACACTTAACAGGGCGCCTGGGTGTGGTTAAGCGTCTGCCTTCAGCTCAGGTCATGATCCCAGGGTCCTGGGATGGAGTCCCACATCAGGCTCCTTGCTCAGCTGGGAGTCTGCTTCTCCCTCTGCCTCTTCCTGCCACTCCCCCTGCTTGTGCACTCTCTCTCTCTGTCAAATAAATAAATAAAATCTTTTTTTTAATTTTTTTTAAGATTTTATTTATTTATTTGAGAGAGAGAGAATGAGAGACAGAGAGCATGAGAGGGAGGAGGGGGAGAGGGAGAAGCAGACTCCCCCCTGAGCAGGGAGCCCAATGCAGGACTTGACCCCGGGACTCCAGGATCATGACCTGAGCCGAAGGCAGTCCCTCAACCAACTGAGCCACCCAGGCACCCCATAAATAAAATCTTAAAAAAAAACCAACCCCATTATACTGAGGAAAGAAGCTGGACCCCAAAAAAGTGCATCCAGCTTCCCTCCTGTGAGGGATGATTTTGAGTAGAGAATATGGACATTTCTGCAGGCATGAACCTAGACGTGGAACTGCAGGGCAGGTGTCTGTTCAGGTTTAATAGACGCGGCCTCTTTTCCAGAGTGATTTCCTCAAATACTCTTAACAGCATTGTCTGAGGGTTTTGGCCTTGGCAAATTTGAAACCTGGAAAGGGACTCGTGTCCTTGAAAAGTGGAGAATAAAGGGGCACCTGGGTGGTAGCTCAGATGGTTAAGCTTCTGACTTCAGCTCAGGTCATGATCTCGGGGGTCCTGGGATCACGCTCTGTGCTCAGCAAGGAGTCTGCTTGTCCTTCTGCCCCTCCCCCTGCTCCTGCTCTCTCTCTCAAATGAATAAACAGAATCTTAAAAGAAAAGAAAAGGAAAGAAAAGAAATGTGGAGAATAAAGAAGGGCTAGGCACCCCTTGCCCCAGCCCCCAAAGAACAATGGGAATCATGCAAAGGATTTAAGTCAGAAAATGGCATGGGCAAAATTGCCTTTTAGAAAGATGCAGGGCTGCAGGGGGTAACCACCAGCACACAGCAAGCACCCTGGGGTTTTGCTGTCTGCCATGGTGAGCTGTGGCCTCCAGTCTCCCTCCGTACCCCCAATTTGTAGGCAGGAATGGAGGTGCTGAGCAGATGAGGATTCAACATGTTTTGGCCACTCACTTCTTGTCAAGTTGAAAACACCAAAAATTGTGTCCATTTGCACAGCAACATTGTTTAAAAGAGCACAAACCAGAAAATCCTGCCAATGTCTATCAAGGGAGAAATGATCAGGTAAATTACAGTACATCCTTAAGCCAAAAAACTATACAATCATTTTTTTTTAAATGAAGCAGGTATTATCTATTAAAAAAAAAAAAAGGACTGAGGAATGGCTAAAATCAAAAACACAATATACAACAGTTGTCGGCGAGGATATGGAGAAAAAGGAACGCCCGTGCACTGTTGGTGGGAATGCAGACTGGTGCAGCCACTGTGGAAGACAGTATGGAGGTTCCTCAAAAAGTTAAAAATAGAACTACCTTATGATCCAACAATTGCACTAATGACTATTACCCAAAGAATTCAAGAACACTAATTCAAAAGATATATGCACCCCTATGTTTATTGTAGCATTATTTACAATAGCCAAAGATATGGAAGCAGCCCCAGAGTCCATCGATTGATGAATGAATAAAGGAGATGTGGTATAAATATACAATGGAATATTGCTCAACCATAAAAAAAAAAAAAGGAAATCTTGCTGTTTGCAACAACATGAATAGATCTACAGGATATAACGCTAAGTGATTTAAGTCAGTCAAAGAAGACAAATACCATATGATTTCATTGATATGTGGAATTTAAGTAACAAAACAAATGAACAAAGGAAAAAAAAGACAAACCAAAAAACAGACTCTTAACTATGGAGACCAAACTGATGATTACTGGGGGGGGGGGGGGGGGGGGGCGGCGATGGGGGAAATATGTAATGAGGATTAAGCATGCACTTATCATGATGAGCACTGAGTAATGTATAAAATTGTTGAATCACTATATTGTACACCAGAAACTAACATAACGCCGTATGTTAACTATGCTGTAATCAAAATTAAAACAAAATAAAACAAAACACAAAATTAGAACTTATGCTACTAAAATATATATGTGATGAGCTAAAACCTATTAGGATTCAGATTTATTTGTAAAAATAATAATAATAATAAATAAGGGGCGCCTGGCTGGCTCAGTCAGTAGAGTGTCTGACTCTTGATCTCAGGGTTGTGAGTTCAAGGCCCAATTTGGGTGTGGAGCCTACTTAAAAAAGAAGAAGAAGGGGCGCCTGGGTGGCTCAGTCGTTAAGCGTCTGCCTTCGGCTCAGGTCATGATCCCAGGGTCCTGGGATCGAGCCCCGCATCGGGCTCCCTGCTCGGTGGGAAGCCTGCTTCTCCCTCTCCCACTCCCCCTGCTTGTGTTCCCTCTCTCGCTGTCTCTCTCTCTGTCAAATAAATAAATAAATAAATCTATAAAAAAAAAAAAGAAGAAGAAGAAGGAGAGGAAGAAGAAGGGGAAGAAGGAAAAGTGGAAGAAGAAGAAGAAGGTAGGTCTATATATGCTGAGCTGGAAAGATAATTATAGGGTATTATGAAGTGAATAAAACAAATCGCATACTAATATATACGTCATGCTTCCATTTAAAAAGTAAATGCATGTTTAGATAAATGTAATGTGCATATTCTCAGGGGGGCAAAAACCAGGAAGAGCATGGAGCAAAATGTCAACAGTAGCTACCTGGGAGGGGAAATGAAATGGGGGGAATTCTACTAAGCACATAATTTTGTCAATGGTGGAACGGTGGGTATGACAGACCCAGCTCTGTTCAACCCACCCGGGATACTTGCCTTGCTTCCCAGCACGAGCAGCATCAGCCCCTGCTCACGCTGTTCCCACGTTTGCAAAGCTGTACACAGGGCTGCAGGCCCCTCAGCTCCTAACATCTCTGACGGCCTCAGATGCTCACACGGACAAAGGCTGCCATTGCCTCAGCACCCAGGACCCACCTGACTAGAGGGGTTCCACCTAGAAATGGGGGGAGGTTAATGCCCCATAGGGAGGAGTCAAGAGAGTCACACAGGAGCAGGCAGGTAAGGAGCTCAGTGTCCCCTGTGTACCCCCACCCTGTATGCCCAGTACTACACTCGGTGCAATGGACAGTATGAGAGCCTGTGGTTTCATCCCAGGAGAGGGACGTCCCAGGACACTGAGCAACCAGCGTGAGTGTTCTCGTGAAGCCAGGCCAACCTTGGTAATATTCCACCTTGAATCTGTTCTCCCTCCTTTTCTGCCTTACTTCTCTTCCCTCACTCTTGCTTCTCTGGTACCATACCCTCCAACAAAGCATTAGCTCATAAACTTTGCCTCGGGCTCTGTTTCTAAGGAACCCATACAAAGGCAATAGGTGGTTTTCTGCTTGGTTACTATTTTTTCTTTAAACATTTTCTTTAATTTGTTAAAAAATAGAATTTTTGTTAAAATTTTAACGAATTTTTAAAATTTGTTATTTTATGTATAAAATATAATATATTATAAATATAAAATACATAAAATAATGTATAAATATAAAATACATAAAATAAATAAATTTGTTTATACATATTTATAAAAAGTTTTTTTTTTAAGATTTTATTTATTTATTTGACAGAGAGAGACGGTGAGAGAGGGAACACAAGCAGGGGGAGGGGGAGAGGGAGAAGTAGGCTCCCTGCTGAGCAGGGAGCCCGATGTGGGGCTCGATCCCAGGACCCTGGGATCATGACCTGAGCCGAAAGCAGACGCTTAACGACTGAGCCACCCAGGTGCCCCTATAAAAAGTTTGGTTAAAAAAATTTTTATCTGAGAGA